GGCTGTGTGTGGGTGTGTGTGTGTGTGGTGTGTGTGTGTGTAGTGTGTGTGTGTTGTGTGGGTGTGCGTGCGTGCGTGCGTGCGTGCGTTGCGTGCGTGTCGTGCGTGCGGGTGCGTGCGTCGTGCACACGTGCGTAAAACTGTGCTGCGCACGTGACAAGACCGTATGTTCGTTGTAATTACAGCCTCGCCGATAAAGTATATAATTCATGTACAATGCGCTACACGTTCACAGCCAGATGAGGAGATATAGCTGTATCAGCGCCCGGCAGCCTCGTTAAACCTCCGTATTTAATGATTAATTACGAACGGGCCCGCATCTAATTTAATGCTTTTATAATTTATATAAGCTGTCGTAAGAAAAAACACCGCCGCACTAGCATCTTCGTTTCACATATTTAGTACTTATTTGTTTATTTTATTTAGACGCCGTATTTGAGGTACTTTCAGTGATAGTCGGTGGAGCTGCCGGTCTGTGGCGCTTCCTATATGTGGTGTACCAGAGTGAGTCCACGTAGGCGCGCCATGCAGGCTCTGCATAAAGCCGCGCCGCTAAATTAAAATCTACACGAAAATAACTCATTTCGGGTAAATAGTTATTCCTCGTCGTCTGCAGGGGCTAAGGAAAAACGCGCGGAAATCGCAGCCGTTGCGATATTAGAGGCGAAGCTGATCAGAGCCTGGGCTCTAACGGTCTATGACGGCTACCGTAACCGTACCACGCCTGCGAGCTATGGCCTGGCATGCCATTTACTAACGCCTGTGCTGCCAGCGACTGCGATATGAAGTTATGACGTTTGTGGCTTTTACGACACGTAACTAGCCCAGAACAAAACGGTTCATATGTGCGGGCGCAATTACTCAGGCAGATTTAGATCGGCCGAAGCCAGAACTGCACCATTGCACAGTCAATAACCAAGCTTAAATTAGGTGTGTTGCTCGCGCCGCGCGTTTTGTGTGCGCGTGGGCGTGCGGTGCATGATGCCATGGCGCCTGCGTGCGTCGTGTGGGTGTGGTGCTGTGTGTGGTGGTGTGTGTGCGCGCGCGCCGCGCGTGTGTGCGTAACGTACGTGTGTGGGGGAGCATGCGTGCGTAGCGTACGTGTGTGGGGGCGTGCATGGTGCGTACGCTACGTACGTGTGTGTGGGCGTGGCTGCAGCGCTACGCACGGTGGGTGGGGGGCTGCATCGTGCGTACGTACCGTACGTGTGTGTGGGGTGGGTGCATGCGTCGTAACGTACGTGTGTGGGGTGTGTGTGTCAACGCGGGACTGACAGCTGCCACTAATCACCGCTGCGGCGTTGCAGCTAAATAGCGCTTCAGAGACAGGTGTGAAACTCTCAGTGTGAGCTGATTGAAGTCATGTTACACCGTCCCTCCTAACATGTCGTGTTGACAAGACTGCCGTACTGACAAGATTGGCATCCATCCAATATGTCAACGTTACTAACGTTGACACTCACACAGTTGTCATATCCTCCTAACTTATATGCTCCTAACATGCCCTACTGTTAATGTTATAGTCACATAGCTGTCATCCTCGTAGCATGCCATGCTCCCGTATCATGCTCCTATATCATGCTCCCATATCATGCTCCCATGTCATGCTCCCATATCATGCTCCCATATCATGCTCCATGTCATGCTCCATATCATGCTCCCATGTCATGCTCCCATATCATGCTCCCATATCATGCTCCTATATAAAGGAAAAACGACAATGTGGGGATATAAAAACCGGGATCCCCGTTTGACGTTGCACGCGTTGCGCTGCCGCGTCATGGTATTTCTTCTCGCGCTGTGCGGCCCGCACCATGTATTTTTTTCTGCGCGCCGTGCGCTAGTTGAGTTCATTATAAGCTGGTCGCGTGTTCTTTCAGCTGCCATTTCTTTTCTTACAGTCGCGCGGCAGATATCGTTTTGTCGGGCCGACGGCCCAGGTGAAGCGAAACATTGTCACGCAGAGAAAGATATCGCCACTCGAGTCCTTCACGAGAAAACGAAAACCGTCGTGGGAATGTGTGCCATACACCGGCCAGTCGCATTCAGCTTCGTGTATACGGCTATTATATACGTGTATAGTGTCTCGCTGATAGCACTACTGTGAGTCTAGTTACTAACGAGACGGACGAATGAAAACTTTGCCCGACGACTGCGACTGTGTGTTGAGCCGTGTGGCAAACGCCGTTGCCGTGACAACCGGCGTCAGTGTGACTTGCCAGCGTGTGTGCGTGACAACAGTGTGCGTGTCACGCAAAAAAGCCTCTGTCGTTACGTTGTGTTCTGTGTTGGACACTGTAGTATCGCGACAGCCGGCTGTGTGACAAAGGACTGTGTTAGAACCGCAAACGTGATGACATCAGTTTCCGCCTCAGTACACACACACACACACACACACACAACACACACACACACACACACACACACACCACACACACACACACACACAACATACATAACACACACACACACACACACACACAGCACTACACACACACACGACAGCGCACACACACACACGCGCACGGCACGCCACACACACACAACACGCCACGCACGCACGCACACACACGCACGCCACACACGCACGCGCACGCACGCAGCACGCACACAACACACACGCACACACGCACCACGCACGCACGGCACGCACGCATAACAAACACGGACTCTTCCATTCGTTTCGTAATTACGTTTCGTGATCACGCGTGGAACATGGATGTCGAACACGGCGACGGCGGCACGGATTGAACATTCCACAACATCGTTGACCGTATCGTGAGTGGCAGCGGCTGATTGCGGTCGCAGTTAGTTGCTCACAACGTGGCAAACTGCCAACTTGCGGCAGCAGAAGGCGAGCGTAGTCCAAGCACTGAACGGGAACCACAATCAACTCGTCCCTCCCTTTCCTTCTCAACCTATCTGATCTATCTGTCTATCTATCTGCTCGCAGTCTATCTGGTCTATGCTAATCAATCAATCTAGGTCTAGTCTATCTATCTACTCGTATCCTAATCTATCTATCTGATCTATCTATCTATCTATCTATCTATCTTATCGATCTGCTCTATCTATCTATCTATCTATCTATCTATCTATCTATCTATCTATCTATCTAAATCTATCTATCTATCCTATCTATCTATCTAATCTATATATCTATTATATATCTATCTATATATCTATCTTATATCTATCTATCTATATATCCATCTATCTATCTATCTATCTATCTATCTATCTATTCTACTCGATCTAATTCTATCTATCTATCTATCTATCTTATCTATCTATCTCAAATCTATCTATCTATCTATCTATCTATATTACAATATATATATATATATAATATATATGATATATATATATATATCTTCTTGTTGCTTTATCTCTGTCTCCTCTTCCTCTGATCTCGCCCTCACCACTCTCCCTCTATCGTCCCTCTATCTCCCGTCTATCTGCCCTCCCCACTCGTCCTTTCTATCTCCCTCCTCACTCATCCCCGTCTCTTATCTCCCTCTATCTCTCCGCTCTATCTCGCCCCATTCCTCCAATTCTCCTCTCTATCTCCCTCTATCTGCCCTTCTATCTCCTCTAATCTCTCCGTTATCTCGCTCTGCCAACATCCAACTGTGGATGCAGAGCGACGGCACGCCAGCAGCCAGCAGACGGCCGAGCACGCTCCGCTCCCGCGGGAGAGACGTCGGCTGAGACAACGCAGCGCTTGATGACAGACGACAACCAAGGGCAGTCGGCTGATTCAATCAGGTCGGCCACCGCGCGTCGCTCGTCGACATCCGCGACAGCGGCATAGGAATAAGTAGCAGGCGGGGGAGTGGCAGCAGCCAGCGAGCAGCACAAACCAGTGCTAGCGAGCAATTAGCCAGCAGCAGCCGCAGTCAAGCAACACACAGTAATACCAGCAGCAGCAACAAGCAGCCAGCAAACAGCGCAGCAGTACCAGCAGCAGCTAACAGGTAAGACCAGCAAGCAGCAAACAGCGCGCCCAGCCTATATATATATATATATATATATATATATATCTTTTGCTTTATCTCTGTCTCCTCTCCCTCTATCTCCCTCCCCACTCTCCCTCTATCTCCCTCTATCTCCCTCTATCTCCCTCCCCACTCTCCCTCTATCTCCCTCCTCACTCTCCCTCTATCTCCCTCTATCTCCCTCTATCTCCCTCTATCTCCCTCCCCAATTCTCCCTCTATCTCCCTCTATCTCCCTCTATCTCCCTCTATCTCCCTTTATCTCCCTCTCCAACATCCAACCGTGGATGCGGAGCGGCGGCACGCAGCAGCAGCAGACGCGAGCACGCTCCGCTCCCGCGGGAGAGACGTCGGCTGCGACAACGCAGCGCTGATGACGAGCGACAACAAGGCAGTCGCTGATTCAATCAGGTCGGCACCGCGCGTGTCGTCGACATCCGGACAGCGGCAGTAGGAATAAGAGCAGCGGGAGAGTGGCAGCAGCAGCAGCAGCACAACCAGTGCTAGCAGCATTAGCAGCAGCAGCCGCAGAAGCAACAACAGTAATACCAGCAGCAGCAACAGCAGCAGCAACAGCAGCAGCAGTACCAGCAGCAGCAACAGTAAGACCAGCAGCAGCAACAGCGGCAGCAACAACAGCAGCAGTACCAGCAGCAGCAACAGTAGTACCAACAGCAACAGCAACAGCAACAGCATCAGTACCAGCAGCAGCAGCAACAACAACAACAGCAGCAGCAACAACATCAGCAGCAGCAGTAGCAGCCGCAGCACGACAATCAGCAGCAGTTGGCGTACACTACGATGCCGGCGTGTTACTGAGCAATGACATGCACGCCTCTATGACGACCATCCTGGTGGCGTTGACCATGCACGTGACCGGCGGCCTACCGTGGGACGTCGACGAGTACCCAAACCCGCAGCAGGATCCGATAGGGTGCGCGCGCAGCGGCGAACGCAGCACGTGGGTGTGCGACCCCGATCGTCTGCTAGCCATCGATGAAGGTGAGTGCGCATGCGCGTGTCTTTCTCGTCTGTGATTCTCTGTTACTGTGTATGTGTAACAGACACGTGGGCGCACACGTATACATACGCACGTGCACGTGTGGGCGCACGCACGCACGCGCACGCACATACGTACACGATCACCACATACACACGCACGCACGCACGCACACACGCACACACAGGCACGCACGCACGCACGCACGCACGCACGCACACACGCACACACAGGCACGCACGCACGCACGCATTATAAAGGAAAACGACAATGTGGGGATATAAAACCGGGATCCCCGTTTGACGTTGCACGCGTGCGCTCCCGTCATGTATTTCTTCTCGCGCGTGCGCCCGCACCATGTCTTTTTTTCTCGCGCGTGCGCTAGTTGAGTTCATTATAAGCTGTCGCTTGTTCTTTCAGCTGCCATTTCTTTTCTTACAGTCGCGGGCAGATATCGTTTTGTCGTCCGCCGGCCAGTGAAGAAACATTGTCACGCAGAGAAAGATATCGCACTCGAGTCCTTCACGAGAAAACGAAAACCGTCGTGGGAATGTGTGCCTACACCGGCGGTCGATTAACTCGTGTATAACTCTATATATATACGTGTATATTTCTCGTATAGCACGAGGTGAGTCTAGTACTAACGGAGAGGACGAATAAACTTGCCCGACGACTGCACTGTGTGTTGAGCCGTGTTGCGCGAACGCCGTTGCCGTGACAACGGCGTCAGTGTGACTGCAGCGTGTGTGCGTGACAACAGTGTGCGTGTCACAAAAGCCTCTGTGTTACGTTGGTTTCTGTGTGACAAGTAGTATCGCGACAGCGGCTGTGTGACAAAAGACTGTGTTAGAACCAGCATCCGTGTGACATTAGTTTCCGCCTCAGTACACACACACACACACACACACACACACACACACACACACACACACACACACACACACACACACACACTGCCGCCCCCATGATGACTGATTGATGGATCAGAGAGAGGCGTTGCCCGCTGCAGGCTTCACGCATGCATTCATTATGCTATTAGATTCTTCTTCTAGAGGCTGCAGCGAGCAACACGGACGTCTCCCAGACGCGGCGTCCGTCTACGGTTGTCTGCTACGCCCGTCGTTTCTACGCCTGGTAGGCGCGGATAAAACAGCGGTAGATTCACATGTTTAATTTCTGTATTGTATAATACATAACACAGTTTGTCTGGGGACAAGTGCATCGGATGTTGCGTGCGAAACAAACACAGTTATTAGTGGATCAAATATGGCTGAGCAGTTGAAACATAGTAGGTCTCAGGGGAGAGATAGTGAATATAGAAATAAGTTGTGGATATAGAAATTAGTTAACCCTAACCCTAATCCTAACCCTAACCCTAACCCTAACCCTAACCCTATCCCTAATTCTAAAATTAGCCAAAAATAATAAATGATAAAATAAATAAGAGACAAAATTAGCCAATCAGAGCCGTCCCCTAGCGGATCACTATCTCTCCCCTGTGCAAAATTCGTTGAAACATGGCGGAGCAGATCAAACATGGCCGATGAACGGATTAAACCCGAATTCCGAATTCGTTTTCGAGCGTCTCAATCGATTGTCGCGGCGTCTGAATACGTCGGTGACTCAGCGGAACAGACGAGAGCCTACCATCTGCCCGCGACTCGCCCGCATCCTTGCTTTCCTCAGCTTCACAAACAGCATTGCAGCATCCACCCCGCATTTATTATGATTAATTATATACCAGAATCGAAATAACTTAGCTATACGACAACAGCAGCTGCTGCTGCTGCTGTTGATGGTACTACTGCTGCTGCTGCTGCTGCTACTGCTGCTGCTGCTGCTACTACTGCTGCTGCTGCTGCTGCTACTGATGCTGCTGGTACTACTGCTGCTGCTACTGCTGCTGCTACTGCTGCTGCTACTGCTGCTGCTGCTGCTACTGCTACTGCTACTACTGCTGCTGCTACTACTGCTGCTGCTGCTACTGCTGCTGCTGGTACTGCTGCTGCTACTGCTGCTGCTGCTACTGCTGCTGCTACTGCTGCTGCTACTGCTGCTGCTGCTGCTACTGCTACTGCT